AGGTCTTAAAGAGCTCCCCGCTGCCCTCACCTCCGCCGTGCCTCCCAGGAGCCCACGACAGTGGCGACCGTTGCTCAGTTCGCAGCCCCCGCAGGAGCTGGGAGGTCTCACAGGGACCCCCGCTGCCCTCATCTCCACTGCCTCCCAGGAACCCATGAAAGTGGCGACAGTTGCAGAGTTCGCAGCCCCCAAGAGGAAGCACAAGAAGCAGGAGGACCTATAAGATACAGGAGGAGGGGGGCGGAGGAGAGGGAGACAAAGGATGGAGCCCATGGTTTTCTGTTCAAAACGAGAACCCAACACACAGGAGGGTTGGGAATTCAGAGCTATTGAGCCCGATCTGGAAACCATGGAGCCAGATCAGCCCAGACTAAGGCACGGATGAAACTGGATTCGGCCAGACTGAGGGATTAAGCTGGGTAAAGGGGGCGTCTGCTAGATTAGGCAGGCTTGGGACCACAGATGTACTAGTGCCAATGCTCTCAAGTCAACCTCCCAGGAGTTGCATTTTCACTTCGGGCCTCAGGAAGCCGTCGAACATCTGTCCTGGATGAGAAACTCGCACAGATGTAGCCAGAAGGGTCTGGGAAATGGTCTCGAGCGGGACTCAGCCTTGCTAGAAGCTTACTCTGTTCAATGGAAAATAAATGCAAACGAAAAACGGATAACCCCCCAGACATCCCAAACAACCCGTGCTGATGATTGACGACAAGACGACCTACCCCGGACAACCCCTTGGACAACCCAGCGGGGGTCCAGGCAGACCATCCAAACACCTCCCCTTGGACGAGCCTCCCCGGGATTGTTTCCCATAAGACACAGAACGATCCTTCCTCAGGAGTTCCATGTCTTCTTAAAGGCCGCCCCGCTCGCTCTCCCCCTCATTACGGGCCACTAGACTCTGGCCGTGACTACCCCTCTCGGAGCATATGCCACAATCGGCTCCCAGAGCGGTGGTGGCGGGTAAACTCCAGCCTCGGACGGAAGGGGCTCCCACAGGTTCCACAGGTCTCGCAGGTCTCGCAGACCCAGCAGGTCCCACACATCCCACACCAAGGGTCCCACAGGTCCGACGGTTGTCGCAGGTGTCACATGTCCCACAGGCCACAGAGGTCCCCCAGGTCTCACAGGTCCCACATGTGCAAATTGCGTCACAAGTCCACAATTCTAACCTGCCCCACAAGTCGCACAGGTCCCCCAGGTCCCACAGGTCCCACACGTCTCACAGGTCCAACAGGCCCCACAGGCCCCACAGGTGCCACACATCCCACAAGTCCCCACGGGTCTCACAGGTACGAACGTACCACAAGGGCCACTGGCTCCATAGATCCCACAATCACACGGGTCCCGCTTGTCTCGAAAGTCTCGGAGGTCCCACAGGTCCCGCATTTAACACAGGTCCCACCAGTTCCGCATGTGCCACTGGCCCAACAAGTGCACTATTCTAACAGGTCACATGGGTGCCGCAGGACTCACAGTCCCACAGGCCACAGAGGTCCACCAGGTCCCACAGATCCCACAGGTCGCACAAGTCCACAATTCTCACCCGCACCACAAGTACCACAGACCCAGCAGGTCCCACAGGTCCCACATGTCCCAGAAGGCCCACATTGCCCACAGGCCCCACAGAACCCGCAGGTCCCACGTGTTGCACGGGTGCCACAGGTCCCGCAGGTCGTGCAGGCCGCACAGGTCCTATAGTTCCAGGGAGTCGCACAAGCCCGAGAGGCCCCACGGGTCCCACATGCCCCACAGGTCCCACAGCTCCCACAGGCCCCACAGGCCCCACAGGCCCCACAGGTGCCCCAGGTGCCACAGGTCCTGCAGGTCCCACAAACCCCATGGGCCCGACAAGAACCGCAGGTCCCACAGGGCAATCAAGTCCGACAAGCTCCACAGGCCGCACACGTCCCACAGGTCCAGCAGGCCCCACAGGTCTCGCAGGTCTCACATGTCCCTCAGATCCCACACGCTCCACAAGTCGAACAGGTGCCTCAGGTCCCACAGGTCCCACTGGTCCCACAGGTGTCGCAGGTCCAAGAGGTGTCGCAGGTCCCACAGGTCAGGTCCCAAAGATCCCACAGAGGTCCCCCAGGTCCCACAGGTCCCACAAGCCACACAAGTCACACAAGTCACACAGGTCGCACGAGACCACAGGCTCCACATGCCCCGCAGGTCCCACAGCTCTCGCAGGTCTCACAGGTCCCACAGGCCGCAAAGGTCTCACAGGTCCTACAGGTCCCACAGATCGCACATTCCACAGATCCCACGGGTCAAAGAGGTCCCGCAGGTCCCACAGGTCGCCCAGTCCCACAGTTCACACTTACCCCACAGGTCTCACAGGCCCCGCAGGTCCCACAGGTCCCACAGGCCTCGCTGGCCCTACAGGCCCCACTGGCCCCACAATTCGCACAGGTCCCAGAGATCCCGCAGGCATCACAGATCCCACGGGCCACGCGGGTCCCGCAAGTCCTTTGCTGACATTAGGGTGTTTTGCCAG